TTCATGGTGCGGAGCATGTCCCAACCAATCACGATTAGGCTCTGAGTCTGACAAAGATAAACTGCCCAGACCTTTCCGAACAGGCACACGATAGATCCATACTTATTATGTGAACGATTGAATCTTCCGAAGAAGGATTCTTCCATGGAGCCACTCAACTATCGGAGTCTCAGCAAACACAATACACCCTTCGTAGATGGAGAAGAGAACATAGGTCTCGGTATTACAACGAATGATTTTAACAGGTCATGACTACTTGGTAACAATAACGAACAATGACACTTGGATCCGATCATATTCTTCTTCTCAGAACTTCACAACCAGCTTGCTCCCTGAAACCTTTCCTTGACGCAGCAAATCCAGCGACTCAAGCAACACCTCAATCCCGCCATCAACCACTTTGATGGGGGGCGGATTGAGTGAGGTTTGAATCTGAGGCAAGATCGCATAGAATCGGGCCAAAGCCTGGCGGTGCTCGATGTCTATATGAAACTTGGGACCAATCGGAGGCAGCCAGGCGAACTCGCGGCCAAACACGGTATAAAGCATGATCATATCGTATTTGACTCCAGGAACCTTGGATTCGCCTTGATCGAGCAACGTGACAATCTTTCCGCCCTGAGATTTGATGACGTTGGCAATGGCTGGTCCAGATCCTCCTTCAGAGAAGCAATCAAAAGCCAGGGAAATATCTGGAAATGCAGTGGTAACTTCTTGAATCCAGGTTTCAGACCTGTAGTTGAATACATGGTCCGCACCGTAGCGCTTGACGAGCTCATAGGAGTGAGGCGACGCTGTCGTAACAACGGTGTATCCTGCAAGCTTCGAAAGCTGGATGGCGAAAAGACCGACGCTCGTGGAGCCTGCGTAGATGAAAATAGTTTTGTTCGTTGACTTGGACGCTAATGACTGCGGACCTGTTCCCGGCTCACCAGGCCATGGAAGACCCAAGTGAACGTTGACCGCCAGGACGGCTGTCACAGCCGAGACGCCGTACGTAGCTGCCTCTTCGTCGCTGACACTCTGCGGAATCTTCCAAGCTAGATCGCTATCCGTCTTGAGATATTCCGCAAAGGAACCCCGGTCTCGGTATAGTCCGCCGTGAACAACACCGGCAACGCGATCACCTATCCTCCACGTTCCGGCCGCGGAATGCCCGACCTCGACGACCTCTCCGGCATAGTCACACCCGACTATGCACCCTTTTGGGGAGATGACATCAATATGCTTGAAATCGCTAGGGTTGAGAGCCACAGCATGCACCTTAACCAATATCTCGTGATCAGTGATGGTGGGCTTCGACGTTTCGGTGACATGGGCGCCCTTGAAAACAGACTTTCCGGTGCTGAGGTTGAAAACGCGGGTTGCGATAGTCCGGTTTGTCACCAGGGCCTTCATAGTTGGTTTGGAAGATGCACAAGCGGCCATAATGCGGGTTCGATTTGAATAGTAAAAATGAGACTCTGTGGTATGTATCAAGTTGGTTTCTGTGTCGATGGGTAGCTGAATGTCGCAAGTCAGCCTGGGTCGTTGGCTAACTAGTTCATACTTATGGCAACGAATACATGCTGCAGTGGCGATCTGCATACCAGAAACCATTTCTGATCCTGATGATTTGTATTCCAAAGATGAAAGGTCTGCGTCATTCACCTCGGTCGCATCTGGAGATCAACAAAGTTCAAAAAGTACGGTTCTGGTGATGGTGGGGATGTGTTCACTAATCACAACTAGTAGTGCTGGATTAATGCCGACGGCCTTAGCACAAGCCGACGGCCACACCCTTAATTGCACCTTATCTTAAAGTTATGGCGCATGGAAGAAACCTAGTAGAAATGAAATCTTTCGTTTTTTACTAAGCATAGACAGACGACCTCGTCGGCTTAACAGTTAGCCCAGAACCGTATCTGACCCCCTCGTCGGGTCGACTCATGGGCCCCAAAGCCGACGGAGCTCACATTATTCAGCACATTGATATTGTACAGCCCTTTATGTCTGGGTCTCATGGCACAAACATTGCGCCGCTCAGGTCTTCGTTGGGTTAATGCTTGACTGGAAGTTATGCTTCGTAATCCAAGGCGAGTGCCAGCTGTGGAAGTGGCAGAAGTGCTACGGCGACACTGCAATTGTAAACTATTTAAGTTGATTTGACGGTCCCTGCAAAAGGTCGAGGCCGTTATGTGCATTCAAATGAACAGCTAGCTTTTCACAATCATACAGGATGTCTCTTACTAAACTTGTGCTAGTCGGTGTAAGTTGTTTGTGATTGTTCACGCGGAAGATGAGATCAGCAATCTAACAAACCTAAAATCCAGGCAAGTGGAAACATTGGAAGAGGCGTTCTACCACAGCTACTGCAATCTGGCCTTGACCTGACTATTCTCAGTCGTGAGGGCTCAGCTGCAACCTTTCCAAAGGAAGCCAAGGTCATCAAAAGTGACTTTAGCGAAGGATCTCTCGTTGAAGCACTGAATGGTCAAGATGCCGTCGTCAGCATGCTCCCGATTGTTGCTCTCGGAGAGCAGCAAAAAGTAGCCGAAGCAGCCATCAAAGCAGGAGTGAAAAGATTCATCCCCAGCGAGTATGGGTCTGATTCCTCTGTATGCATCCTTATTTTGCCATCGGAAGCCTCAGCTAACCTACTTGCACGAAGTCTGATCTCGTCATCGAGGCGGTTCCCTTTTTCCAGCCCAAGAAGGCTCAATTAGACTGGCTTACTTCTCATGAAGAGCACATTAGCTGGACCGCCATCATTACAGGCCCGTTCTTCGATTGGGTATGTTTAAGGTCCTGATCGAGACAGTGTTCAATTCCGCTAACATCGATTCAGGGATTGGAGCTGGGTATGACTGGCTTTGACCTCAACAACAGGGTCGCCACCCTGGTGGACGGTGGGAACACCCGATTTACTACAAGCACTGTGGCTCAGATTGGACGTGCCATTATATCGGTTCTGAAGCATCCCTCTGAGACGAGAAATCAGCTTGTTTTTGTTGAATCTTTTACAACTACTCAGCTTGAGATTCTGAACGCCCTCCAGGAGGCAACCGGCCAGGACTGGAAAGTCAAAGAAGAGACTTCTGAGAATGTGAGGTTTGATGGTTTCAAGAGACTTGGCGGAGGTGACATCGTGGGTGGTGGAGCTTCCGTGATTATGGCATTGGTCCTTGGCAGTGAAGCGCTAGAGGACCATACAGACGTCAAGGGTGGCATTTGGAACGAGAGGCTCGGGCTGGAAAAAGAGAGCATGGAGAATACAGTGAGGGCTGTGATCAAGCAGTAACTTACTTCTTTTGTGACGAATGGGAGCACGCTCCGCTTGAAGAGGCTTTCATGGGGGAGATGCATGGAATGATGATCATGTGTACGGGTGTTGCGCAATACATATTTGCTTCGTGTAACTAAAGATCAAGGAAAGATTTCTATTGTTCACTTTGGTCATCCTCCGAGTCGAAAGCCTATTCCCGGGTGTTATCCGGCTGTTGCCCATGGAAGTTAGGTACAATGATCTTTTTTCTCTTCTAACCTTTCTTCTTCGCAGTTTGGCGCCTGGAGGCGCACCTATACTGGCTACACTGCGGTTTAGATGCCTTGACATCCCTCAACCAGCCTCTTGCATTTCATTTCCAAACCCGCTGGCCTGTTTCCTCTGGGTTCTTTCATCAACCCTATGTTCATCAATTTCTGATAAAATGGCACAGACTTGTCCCAACTACCTGTAAGTAGCAGACTTTTGCGTAAGTGTGGCATCAATTCAATAATCCCTTGTACGCAGCCAATCAGCCATGAACCTAGCCCCCATCCCTGTGTGGAGAGCGTGCTCAATCCAAACATCGGTCAAGAATGCGAAAGTCACGAAATCCGTGATAACGCGGCCAAACCCGATGAATGTTAGCTGGCATTCGCTCCCTGAGTTGCAAGAGGTGTCTTCTGAGTCGTCTTCCAAGTTGACTGCTGTTTATTGTCGGAGAATACTTTCAGCGACCTCCACTGTGTTAGACTTAATATCGTACATCGCAAAACATAACAAATTTTGTAATATTCGTCACCACCATCTATCCTCCCACACTCGTTATGTCTGTGGCTGGTCTTCCATACGGCCACGGGTTCCTCGAACATAGCATGGTTTCTCCTCGATGGTGGTGGACCCTAGACTCGTCAAGACTGAGCTCCACTTGTTAGTCGTCCGGTCCTCGGTTGGTGACAGGGGTGTCAGCGTCGGACTTAGGAAGAATTCATCAAATGCAAATGTGAGATCTCACACGGTTGAAAGAACTCCGACAAGTGACGGCAAAGATGCTGACAGTGGAAAATTTCATAGGACACAGAAGTAATGAATCATGCGATTTTACTCTCCTTCGACGTATCCCTGTCACCGTCTCGGCATATTCCGGGTTCTACAGGGGAAACGTAATGTTTAGACGTATGGCTTCGAGAAGGGTTTATTCTTCACAAATTGTAGGTAAATTACTGTGATTTTGGTTTTGCAAAGCCGTAGTAAAAGGAATATCATTGTTGCTTGGACTACGTACCATCCATGCATCAAGATCGTAGGGTAATGTTGGCTCGTCAGCGCGACGTCGATTATGCTTCCACTAGAAGCGCAGGTTGCGTGAGAAAGTTGAGACATATGTGCTACGCACGTCTTAATAATCAGGGCTTAGGAATGACAGAGATTTGCTGAATCAATGGCCTAAGTCGACGGATAACGTTGAAGCCGAGCACCCGGGAGGCTCACGGAGCACCAAGCGGGATCCACACGGACAGGCAGGGCTGTCAGCAGACAAAATCTCCGGGTCTTAAGTCCAAGAACCGAGTCAACAGTGTCGACTCACCAACGCTGCGACCGGGGCACGGCAGTGGGACGAGTTCGCAACAACCACATAAGACATGCGTCTCCCGTCCAGAATACTCCTAATTTTGGATGAGCACTTGACAATTAACGCTGCCTAACTTTTAACGCTACTTACTCAAACGGAATCATTGCGCCATCACCAACAATTATGACTTCCCAGGATCGAATCGACGTCATCGTTGGAACGTCTAACTTTGGATACCCAGACAACTTCTGGGGAAATTCGGAGTCGCACATTATTCAGGCCTTTCAGTTGATGAAGAAACATGGCTCCAAGAAACTCGACACTGCGAAGGCCTATTTTGGATCAGAGGCAAAACTAGGCGCTATGAAAGCTGGCACAGATTTCGACTTGGACCTTGACACAAAGTGGTTGGGGGGTTACGACCGGGCTGATGGCGCCAATACCCGATCTTACATGCTTTCGTCGGCCAGACAAAGCATTGAGACCCTCGCCATCCCTCAAGTCGACGTGTTCTACCTGCACGCGCCTGTCCTCAACACCCCCCTAGAGGAGACTCTTGCCGGCATCAACGACGCCTACAAGGCAGGCTTATTCCGAAGGCTGGGGCTTTCCAACTACCCTCCCGCTGAGGTTCAGCGACTCTACGACGTAGCTAAAAACAACGGTTTTGTCCTTCCGACGGTATACCACGGCAACTACTCCGCCGTAGCGCGAAAGCCCGAGGCAGACTTATTTCCTGTTCTGCGAAAACTTGGAATCTCTTTCGTCGCGTATTCGCCGATTGCCGGGGGCTTCCTCACCAAGACTAGAGAGCAAATTGAGTCTGGTGGGACCAGGTTCAGCCCAGATCAAATGTTCGGCATCTACCACAAGCTGTATGTCAAAGAAAGCTATTTATCTGCACTTGAGGAGTGGGGGAAGATTGCGGAGGAGGAGCAGATCTCAAAGGCGGAATTAGCGTACCGTTGGGTCGTTTACCACAGTATCCTCCGGAAAGAGTATAGCGATAGCATCGTGTTCAGTTCCAGCTCTTTATCCCAGATAGAGGAGACACTTTTAGCTTACAACAGAGGCCCTTTGTCTGTGAAGGCAGTAGAGGCGATTAAGCAGATATAAGAGAAAGTAAAGGATAAAGCCAGCGTTAATAACTACCAAACTGTTTTCAGCAGCAACTAAAATAACAGATTACTCAGCTTATAATAAGTAGTTAATAGCTTATTTATATTACTTTTTCAAGTCATAATCCGTGAAAAGTCGCCTTTAAACATATTTCAAGATATTATACAAAAGATAGTTAAGAATATTTATTACGATCTCATTTTAAGGTTTCATATTATCAAACTATCTAAAATAAGCCTAAGAGACGCCACAAGCCATCAAAGTGTGATATGAGATAATATAGAGGTTAGCAGCATAGATAAAAAGAACTAAACGCTTTATGCTCATAAGGGTAGCATATTATTTAGTCCCCTCTAGCAGGTTTAGTCTTTTATATCAGAAGATTATTAGTAATTTAGCAGTAGTAAAGGTCTTTACTAGCTTTTACTAAGAGGATATTATAGTTAGCTATCTAATAGTAAAGTCTACTAATAGAAGCTAAGGATTAATACGTTTAAATAGTATACTAATGTTATAGTCTAAGTTATAAGTGTTATAGTTAGCTATCTAATAGTAAGGTCTACTAACAGAAGCTAGGGATTAATATATTCTAATAGTATATAAGGGTTATAGTCTAAGTTATAAGTTATAAGCTAATAGTAAATTAGGTCTTTAGAAGCTAAAGTGATTAGTCTTAAGCTTAATAAATACTTTATAGTAAAAGTAAACTAAGAGTATCCTAAAGATAAATACTAAGTTAATTACTAAAAAGCTATAAAAGTCTAACTTTAAACTAAGTTTAAGTTATACTATATATAAATCCTAAATAGTATTCTTTATTTATTTAGGATTAATTACTTATTATAACTTATAAATAAGGATAATAGCTAAATAACTTACTTAGGCGTTAGGTAGCTAAGATAGGATATTTATACTATAAGATTATAGGAATAGTAGGAACTTACTTAGTATAAAAAAACTATAGTATAAGTTATATAATAATGTTGAGGAAGTTTCGAGCCTACCTAGTAGGAGTTTTCACAGTAGGAGAAAAAGCAGTAAAAGCACCTCAGTTAGTGCCCAGTCCAGTAGCTTCGCAGTATACATACCCAAAGGTCTGGAATAACTGCCCGCGCCAACCCCAACTCGCCATACCATTATGGCTGTCAGCCTCGTTAACAATGGCTTCATTGCCAGTAAGGTTAACAGCCTCGCCCGCGTGACTCACGAGCGAGACACATACCAGAGATAGCTTCATAAGGTCTTCAGCCACAGAAAAGCTTATTTTAGCCATATACTTAAGACGCCGCTCACGCTAAACCTCAAGCTTATTCCTCACCCTATAAGTAAACCACCTAGATTCCTTCACGATATATTCCATCCTACTTGATCTATAGGATCTCATACCGTAAAGCTTTACCTAAGGTATGCCCTAAGATACTAAGATTAATACTAACCATAAGGCTAGGCTTGTAGTAATTAGTAAGATAATACTCTTTAAATATATAGAGCCCTAGGGACTAGATAGTTATAGCTAGGTCCTACCTTAAGGTCCTAGAGGCTAACCTTAGTGGTGATAGCGTAGAGGCTGCCTGCCTGCTTCAGCAAAACCTCTCGCTTAATAATATGGATGCGTTTGCTGCTAATCCTAGTATTTACGCCTACTTTAATAATATCCTTAGTAGGGCGGCATAGCTAGTAAGTTAACCAAGCTAACTATGATATTACAGGCGTTGCTGATGAATATAAATAGTGATAGCATTATGTCCCCTAAAAACGTCATAACAGATGTCTATCTTAGAGGGCGTATACAGCGTAGGCGGCAGAAAAGACAGCTGAGCTGACAGAAGGTATGCGTGAGGGTTAGTAGATAGGTTAGAAGGCTGGAGAAAGTCTGCTATAGTAATTAAACCTAGTTAAAGTTATGAAGTTGTTGTTGAAGTGATGTTGAAGGTGATGAGATTGTTGATGATGGCGTACCTAAGCGCATATAGGGGAAATAGGGCTGAAGCTGGAGATAGCAATCTGTGGGACTGTCTAGCTGAGCAGAAATCTAGGGCGATTATGTGACTAGTAGGCTGTTAGCTAAAGGGTGAAGTTAGAGGTTGTTATAGTATAGGTTCCAGGTAAAAGTCATAATAGCTAGCTAGAGGCTATAAGTTATATAATAATAAGATAGAGAAATAATTAGTAGAGTATAGAATAAAATACTTAGTAATTAATTAGTATTACTAATTAATTATAATTACTTTATATACTTAAGTAATTACTCCTAAGTAGATAAAGAATACTACTTAGGATTTATATATAATATAACTTAAGCTTAATTTAAAGTTAAACTTCTATAGCTCTTTAGTAATTAACTTAATATTTATTTTTAAGATACTCTTAGCTTACTTTTACTATAAATTACTTATTAAGCTTAAAACTAATTATTTTAATCTCTAAAAACCTAATTTATTATAACTTATAACTTTTAACTTAAATTATAACTTAATATATTATTAAAATATATTAATCTTTAGTTTCTATTAGTAGACTTTACTATTAAATAGCTAACTATAATACTTTAATTACTTTTATTTAGTAAGTTAACTATTAATTCTTATTAATAATAATAAATAATAATATTTTCTTATACTTTTATTAAGTTATTTACTTCTAAACCTTTATTTATTTCTAGAAAATAAACTATTTAAAACTTAGTTTAAGAACTAAGAGACTAAAAAATAAAAAATAACTTAGATAATAAAGATAATACTAAAGAACTTAAATACTAGCTTAATAAAACTAATAATAACTTTAAAGTAATATATAAAATATTTAATTATAATATTATAGTTTTTAATAAACTTTAAGAATAAGTTTATAAGAACTAAAATTTAGAGAAAGAAGTTATTATTTTTTAAGCTACTATTAATATTATTTTAACTTTAATTAAAAAATAAGAATAACTTAAACTTAACTCCCCTACTACTTTTAATAAAATTTTAAAATAACTTAAGGGATACTTAGTTTAAATATAAATTTATTAAGTTTTCTATATAAATACTTTTTAGAATAAAACTAAATAAGTAATATATATAGCTACTTTTTTTAAAAAATAAATTTTAGCTTAATTTAAATCCTTTTAGTAAAAATAGTTTAATAACTTTATTAAGAAATATAGCTAAAAAATTAAGGATATTTTTTTTAATTTTATAAGATATATTAAAGTTTTTTAATTCCTCTTTTTAGAACTAAATAAGAAAAAATAAGCTAAATATAACTTAGTTTATTTTAAATAAACTAAGTTTATTTCTCTCTATATAGCTAAGTTCTAAAGAATTACTTCTTAACTTAATATAACTAATAAGAGTAAAATCTTTACTTTTTATTAAGGATTTAAGGATAATATTAAAGATAAAATAGTTAAAGTTAATAAACTTTTTAGTTTTAGAAACTATATTAAATATATTATTAAAATTAATAACTAACTTTTTAAATATTATAAAGAAAAAAGAGAAAGAAGATTAAACCTTAGTATAAAATATAAATATTAATAATAACTTTAATATAAGTTTAATAACTAATAGAATAATAATAAACTATATAACTATTAGAATAATATTTACTAAAATATTACTTATAGATAATATAGTAAACCTATAAACTTTAATATAATAACTAAAACTAATAATAAGAAACCTTAGAACTCTAAGTATTATAACTATAATAAATAAAGATATATTACTAAAAATTATAAATAACTTAAGAAGCTCCTTTAGAGATTAATAATAAAGTAACTTTAATAAATTAATATAATTATAAAAACTTTATATATATCTTAATTATAAACTAAATATTATAATAATAAATATTAAATTTACTTTAAAAATAAGGAAATATTAAGATACTATTTAAGGGATAGTAACCTTAAATAATCTAAATATAATATAACTATCCTTAATACTTATTTTAAAACTTTAGCTATAATATATTCTAATAATAGTAGAATTATTAAGAAATTAGCTAAATAACTTAATAAAATACTAAAAGTATAATAGTTTAAACTTATTAATACTTTAGTAGTATAAACTTAAAACTAAAAATTAAAAAATAATAATAAATAAAAACTAATATATTTTTAGTTAATAGAACTTATATACTTAGAATATATTTAAGAAGAACTTTATAATCTTATATAGAAAAAATAACTAAAAGTTATACTTTTATATATAGAATAATATAAATATATATATAGAAACCTTATTAGAATTAAATATATTAGCTAAAAAATAAAAGAATAAGTTAAAAAAGAATCTAAAGAAGAACTAAAATATTAATATAATCTACTACTAGAATAATAACTTCTTAATATAACTAATAACTAAACTTTTAGAGAAAGTAAAAGTTTATTTTATAACTTAGATAAATTTTATAATATTACTTAATAATATACTTAAGTAAAGATTATTTATAATTTCACTTTTAGTATAGATAACTTTAGTTTTAGAGAAGAATTTAATAATTAAAAAAATAAAATTAAGTAATTCTTAAAATATTAAGAAATTAATATATTTTAAGATAAATAATAATACTATTTTTATAGTATTTTAATAAACTAATAAGATTAAGATTATATCTCTTAGCTATATATAGAAGATTATCTTACTCTATAAAGTAACTATTAATAATATTAAACCTTTTTTTAGCTTTAATACTTTTATAATAAGTATAAAAAATATATAGAAGATAAATATAACTATTAATTCTATTTTAGAAAACTTAATAATAAGCTTATTAAGAATATCTATATTATATATATTATAATTAAATAAATTATAATAGCTTTTAATAAAAAGATTCCTACTTTTTAATTAAACTTATAATTCTTTATAAAATACTAATATAATAATAATATAAAATAAGATAAATATTAATATAATAAATATTAAGTTTACTATTAAGATAAAGCTTATATATAAAGAATTATAAAAAATAGATTAAAACCTTTATAAATTAGAATCTATAAGAAT